AGAGAGCATCCTTGGATTTGAAAACAACAGCTCAAACGTAATTAAGAAATTTAGACTGGCATGAATATGTAATGTACACATTACTTTGCAGATGCCTTTTTTCTCTGACAGGCTGGTGCCAACTTTCATTTGGAAGAAATCCATTTTCATACAAAGGTAACCGAGAGTGACAGGACATAGGAAACCTACCTCATTTATCTTCTATGAACTTTAAAAAAAAAAATCAGTTAATTGCTTTTCTAGGAAGCTCTTTTATGAAATCACAGTGCTTCATCTTTCCGCTCTTTATTCGTGGTATAAATGGTGATTTTAAAATGCCCATCATGAAAATGCTATGATTAATCAATACATCTTAAACAATATAATGACTTCTTTTAACAAACAGATTTTTGATCAACCAAAAACGGTCACTGTGTTCTTGTGGATGAATTATCAACCCCTACGAAAACTCCTAGCGTACAGTCTATTAATTGATATTCAAATGTAGGTGCCTCTTTCCCCTTCACTGACTAACCTACAGGGAGGGGCGGCAGTCACTGGTTTCCTTCCTTCCCTGGATTTGCAAATGCTACTTTTCCCAGCTCTTCAAGTGCTCTGCAAGAGCAGTTTTAAGTCACTGCCATTTATTAAATTAATAGCAAACAGGAACTAAAACGTGTATCTTTTAGAATGCCACTGCTGAAGCTGTAATGTGCCAAACGAACTGATTTCATGGCTGACACCCATATTTTATCTCCACGGCACTGCGTTATTAGGCTTTTTTTTAATAGCATTATCCCATTTCTGCCTTGCCTATAGCACCTGGCATATAAATACGTATTTTTTATTTCTAACAAATTCGAGACTCATATAAAGCACACTTTTCCAATCTAAAATTATCATTTTAGATAATTTCTTATCCTATTTCAAATAACAATGTCTTACTAGTCCATGAGCCAAAGACAGGCACTGTGAAACTAATGATGCATAAGTTTCAGGGGCTCTGGAGCCAAGGTTCCTCCAAGGTCCCAAGAGGGACCCTAAAAATGTGTTTATATATGTTTTTGTAAATATTTCAAGTTTGGGGACTTCCCTGGTGGCGCAGTGGTTAAGAATCCGCCTGCCAATGCAGGGGACATGGGTTCGAGCCCTAGTCCAGGAAGATCCCACATGCCGTGGAGCAATTAAGCCCGTGCGCCACAACTACTGAGCCTGTGCTCTAGAGCCTGTGAGCCGCAACTACTGAGCCCACGTGCCACAACTACTGAAGCCCATGCGCCTAGAGCCTGTGCTCTGCAACAAGAGAAGCCACCGCAATGAGAAGCCCGTGCAATGCAACAAAGAGTAGCCCCTGCTCGCCGCAACTAGAGAAAGCCTGCGCGCGGCAACGAAGACCCAACGCAGCCGAAAATAAATAAATTTACACATATTAAAAAATATATATTTCAAGTGTAAAATATTTCCATATTCTTTATTTCCTAAAGAGGACCCCCAAGACAGTATAAATGTTGGATCCCACAAACTATATCTGCCCCTCTAGGTTAACAGTGAATTATATGCTACACGTTAAGGACAAAATATTAATCGTGTGTGTGTGAGACAAAAAATAACTCACTTCAACTGGAAATAAGATTCAGTGTGCCCTGCCCTGGAACGTTCTAGAATGCCTGCTTCAGCCATTCCTTAAGGCCCCTGTCTCCTACCTAACAGGAGTCACCCTTACAAGTGGCGGGCCAGGGAAGGCTCACTTAATGAGGGGTGACATCAGGAATGAAAGACTCAGCTACAAAAACAAAATTATGTTTTTCATTAACACAAAACTGAGCTGGGCAAAGCCAGCCAAGAGGCAGGTGGATCAGTTAAGGAATTCCCTTGAGGGCCTTCACTTCCACATCAAATTGCACTGAATTTCTCTACACTAATTACCTATTATTGAAGATGAAAGAATGATAACAAATGATTCGCCACAGCAGCTGACAGACTGCACGTGTCCGAAAGAATGAAGGATTTACCAAGTGCAAAATCAAATTCTCAATTTAAAAAATAGCATAGAATCTTTCTCTACTATAAGGACTATGAAAGGTGAGGGAATTTTCTTAGGCCTAGAAGCCCAATTTTAAATTTTGTCTGGACTGTGAGAGAAATTGCAAATTAAAAGTGAAGTGCTGGAGTCTAATTTATTCAATTCACGTAAATTTCTTGGAGGCAGAGATCACATCTTAAATTTTTTTTTTTTAATTCCTCACACCACATTACACCTAGCCATTGATTTGATTTTCTTATGAGGAACATCCCTATCCAGTGTCATACAGCTATATTTTCACTTCCCTTGTCTTCATGTCACTTTTACCCAATGCTTCCTTTTAGCCCCCAAATTCTTCACACTGTCTTAAGTCTCGCTTTCCAGCTAACATCCTGAAAAAGTGTAGTCAAGTAATGTAAGTTCCCTTCAGGTCATCTCCTCTGTCAATTTTCCTAACATACACATTCCCTCTCTCAGTGGAAATCAATGTCAGTACTAATGAAAGGACATTTTCATAGAGGTGGTATCTGTTTTAAAAATATATAGGCATTAAAATTTTTTTAAAAGGTTTGCCACACTGTTTTAAACCCTCCAAAAAACAAAAGCAAATATTCCTTCAAATCCAATTAGTTGTTAAAATTCTCCCATTTCTATTATGATTGTGGCTTTATAGAAACGTCCTATAAATACTGAATGATACATCTGCAAAGGGTTATTTCTTAGTCCCTTGGGTACTGTAAAGAAACCAACCAACCAACCAACAAACCCTTTGAGTCTGAAGGCTAGGAAGTGTAACTTTCAAACTTCCAGGTAGCCCCCTGTTGCCCACTGAGAAAGAGTCATAATTGTTATTATAATTGTGGACTGTTTGAACACACAAGATTTACAAGATTCAAATTACCATAGTTTCCATAATATGCAAAGCTTTGGGCTAAAATAATGACTGTATACCCTCCCCCACCAAAAAAAAAAAACAAACAAAACACCACCACCCCTACCGACTATAACTTTGTTCCACAAACAACACTTCTTCTTACTTCTTTTCTATCAATGTATGATTGGCCTCTTTGAAATATACCTCGTATTGATAGAATGTTAGGAGAGTTCAATGTCACGGAGGGAAATGAAACACTTCCTGTATAAAAGCTCTAATTTCTCTCGGCGGGACCCTCTATCTCACAGAAAAAGTTCCCTCTTTCTGTGATTACCCAACACCTGTACAGAGTGTCATTCCCAATCAGGGGTCCTGAAAGGGCATCCTGGAAGTGTCCACGTGATCAAGGACATACCCAAAAGCCTGATGAAACTGTAGAGTCATCCACATAAGGCTGCCCTGGTTGTCAAAAACAGGCTTTGCACCAGAGCTTTATCAACTCATCAGGTTCCAAAGTAAATACACTGTTACCTAATAAACTTGGAGTTTCTTTGGTACATGAAAATCATTTTAACAAGGAATCACTGGGGATTAAAATTATGAAGGGAATCCTGGTGGTGAGTCCCCTCTGTTCAAAAATGAGTCATGCTTTATTGGCTGGTACAGGCTCTTTGATGAGGAAAACAAAAATCAAAGAGCTTGACAACTTCAGTTCTGAAAGAGGGTAACTACGTGTGTTTCCCACAAACTTTTAAAAACATAAATGCTTGCAGAACTTACGTTGTGCTTCCATTAATTCCTAATTAACACTTTTTGGGATCCATCGTAAATGAATAATCAAAAGAAGTTACTGGTATACATGTCACTTAATTTCCTCATGAGAACCTGTGTAAACATCTCCGAGTAATAAATGTGTCTTCTCTAAGGGGAATACATTGACCTCCCCATGGGTGCCTGGCGCTTTCTGAGATGAGAGCTCAGAAATGGGTAAAGCTCAGCCTTGCCGGACAGGCAATGAGAAATGTCAAATCATTTGTTTCGTTTGGTTACTAGATCAAATTAAGATACAAAGAATATTCTGGCCACACTGTTATTCCATCTTTAGAAAAGAATATATCAAAAAAAAAAAAGGTGAACAGTTCCTAAGTACAATGTTCTGGAGCTCACGTTGTATTTTAGTTGGTATACCATATCACAGCAAAACAAAACAACAAAAAAACGTGCAGTCATATTTTTTCTTCACATGTTCCGGACAACTGTCATCAATTTGGAATAGAGTACGAGATGTGCTTTTCTCAAACAAAACCTCATTTTCCATCCAGATGTACTGTTCAAGTGACCGCAGCCTCTTTGCTACCTCTGTGATTGTGATTTACTTGTTTTGAAGTCTAACAGTCCTTACATCCATCCTATGTATTTTGTAATGCAGTGAAAAAACACTTTAGAATAAACTCAAAATGTAAACCAGAAGATTCTGAACTAAAATATTTCACTCTCTTCATATAACCGAAGATCATTTTTTCTAGGACAAGGAGAATTCTCACTTGATTAGCAACAACCAACCTGGATCTCAAATATTTTAATATGGATGGGACACCTGAAACATTTGAATAATCACCATATTCAATATTGAATCATTTAACAATTACTTTAAAACTCATGATGAGGTCTACCCTTGTGATGTTTGTCCTGGAACATTTCAAAACTGACAAAAACGTTGAATTTCTGAACTCTTTTACCCAAAAATTAACCTCTTAACATACTAAAAGCTTTGACATACTTTTATTCCAGGGTATAAAACCTCTGACAACATTGGCTTGTGCACACACACACACACAAAAAAAAAATCCCTTGAACTATACTGACGGAGGCATTCCTTCCTGAACTAACACGGACACACCACAACAGCATTTGTTGGTACTTAAAAATACTCTGATTATAATCAATTTGAGATTTTAAGAAATCATTACGGATGTGTACATCCTTCCATACTGATGGCTACAAATCCCACATGACATCAGTCACACACTGAAATGAAGATACACGGGAATGGAATTTACAACTAGTCAGCTCGTCCCTTGGAACTACTCGGAAGCGTGTAAGTGGTGTTGAGGAAAGACTCACCTCTCCTTGTTTGGGGATGCTGAACTTGGCAAGCTTGGCCTTGGTTCTGGCAGACTCTGGCTTCGCGGCTGAGGCTCCCCTGTATGACGCACAGTGCACGCTGGTCTCTGTGGACGACTTCAGCTTCGGAGACTCATTGGGAGCCTGATCTTGGCCATCCATCGGCCGCACATAGGCGGTCGGTTTCTGCTGGACGAGGCTAGGCTTTGAAGCCAGGGATGGAGGAAAGTTCTGAACACAGTGGCCACTGCCGCTGTGCTTGGCTCCCATAGCAGGTGGCCTGTCCTGGGTCTGAAGACCCACCTCGACGTTGCACACCTGTTTGGCCCGCGGCTGCTGTCTGCCAACACCATCTCCGAGCAAGGTCCTGAGAGAGCCCTGTTGTGCTGATTTGGAGGAAGAAGAAGAAGAGGCAGATGAGGGTGAGGGGCTCAAGACACAGGGGTTAGGGTTTTTATTATGGTTCTCTGGGTGAGCAGGTCTGTTCAAATCAAGCGTCCTGTGTCCGTGCTTACTTGCTCTCTGTTGGCCATCGGACGGTGGGTGCCCGGCCTTCTGCCAGCCCACGGTGCCCCTCTTACTCTGCTGCCCAGGGACCACTGCTGGGGTGGAGGATGTGGTGCTGCAGACGGATGCAGGCTGGGTCTGGGCTCTCGAATCTGCAACAAAATGCTCGTCAATCTTGTTCACGGGAGCCTGAGGAACCCCAGGTTTGGGAACGCCAACGAGATGACTCTGATTCGATCTATCCGTTAAGAAGTCTTTCATTTCATCATAATTGCCTAAAGTGTTCTGGAGCCGGTTGGAGAGCTCATCCCCCTTGTTAGTCTGGAAAAAGAAGAACATAACATCCATGCTCCTGTTACAGACAATGGAAACACGGGAAATGATGGAGAGGCGCCTTTACTGCTAGAAGAGCCAGGGTTGCCACATTCAGAATGGGAGCTCAGAGATTCCATCAAAATGGTCAGCGTCTCTGAAGACGTCTGTCAACACTCTGTATCTCACTAGGACTGGACCGCAGCTAATGGCCTCAGAGGGCATGAACGAAGCATCTCTCCTTGGTACTGTGCCACAGCCAAGGAAATCAGGAAAGTTACGATTGCAACTTCACAACCTGGTCTGAATTAAGTCTTTCCAGGACTAGATTTTCTTTTCCTTTTTCTTTTTTCATCCCACTGCAAGCTTTCCTTGAAAATTCAGATTTGGCTCAAATTATTTTGCTTCCAACTTCTAAATATAGAATTATTCTTGTTAGAAACCCAGAGGGACAGGCAAAAGAAATCAGAGAGAAGCTTACAACGAGTGTGGGGTTCAGTCTGCAGGAAGCCCTCGGCCTGAACCATCCCCAGTTCCAAGCAGCCTGAAATAGGAATGAAATCTGGGGAGCTACTTCATTTTGCAAGCGAAGGTATATTTCTGGCCTTTGATATAAATGAGAAACAATCCAACATTCCCTTTCTTATGAGCCCTATCAAGTACCCTGCTCCTAGCATGATCTGTGGGTGACAAATACGTAACCCAACCTCTTTTTAGTGTTTGTTTCCTAACAGTTAAGAAAACACGACAAATGGCATTGACTTTGCAAACTGATGCAGAGATGAAACCAATTATTGATAAAAGTCATAGCATGCAGATCTCCATCTTAAACGAAAGTTATATTTCATTGAGGGACTAGCCAGTAAAGACATGTGAAAGAGGCACCAAAATTTGTGGGGGAAGACCCCATCCTCAGAGGCAGAGCTGTCTGAAGTTTGGTTGGCCAACTCCTGTAGTCAAGACGGCCAACGCGGTTAGAGGGAGGGATGAGGGGTGGAGATGAACAAGTGAAAACCGTCTACCTTGTAGGGTTCACTAAAGAGGGAGTAACTTGAATTAAACGCGCCATCATCCTGCTGAGTTTCCTGATTTCTTCTTTCTCGTTCTTTCCTCCGTAACACGTTTCTATCTGGTTCATAGACACTGCATCAGGGAGAGAGAAGAGAGAACAGCCACACATGAAAAAGTTAAAGGTAATGCTCAATACAACATTCACCTGAATGCAGAGGTCTGATTCACGGGCAAATGGCAATGGTAACGGGAACATGGATCAGATGAAAGCCAGTCTAATCAAGCAGTATGACTCGGGTGTCCGAGAATTCCATTCTTCGGGAGGAAAAAAAAATCCTTAGGACAAGCTGCAACCAGTACTAGACCTCTCTGCCTGATGTGTGAAAGAGGAAATATCTAAGCAACTTTGACAGGAGAAGACTGAAAATAATCTTCAAGCAGAAGGTAATTACAGAGATGTGTAAATAGAAATTATGAGCGTATTTCCTCTTATGACATGGCCCCAGAGCGTTATATGGAAACGCTCCTACTCTTTTCTTTCTCTCTTTCTTTCTTTTCTTTTTTTTTTTTGCATGGCTGTGCTTCTGTAGTGATTCTTTCATTAATTAGGTCCCAAAAGAGCTGTTAAAACTCCATGCTGCAGTGGTTTTCACTGTTATGAGCCTTCTTCTGATCTCTGCTAAGCAGTCAAGTTGTCAGACTCCTACTGAATCCATCCTTCCTTCTGATATATTTCACACGATCACTCTTCCTCACTATGAAAAATGTGCTAAGAGGAAGGGGTGTAGGCAACGAGAGAGAGGACGGAAATTGAAACATGGTTATGTCATCAAGGAACTCAGCCTTTTTGTGCAAGAAAATTAATATCCTTTCTCCCAAGATATAATTACAAAGTGACCAGAAACCAAATAACTAGAAGGACTTAAGGAAAAAACAGTGTTCCTTCCTCCTAGTAAGGAAAAAACTAAAAGGCTAATTCAACTAATAATAAGGAAGTGACTTAAGTGACCGAAGGAAATAGACTTGTCTTTTCAACTCAGTAGACAGAGAAATCTGGCCCCAGTGTAGACAACGGAACTGACACTACCCCTTGTAAGGAACTGCCATGTCCTCCAAATGAGCAACTGTGTGCATTTCAAGCAGACCCATTTGGTTTAAGCGACCTTGTCATCGCTTTGCTTAGAGTTCAAGCTTGATCTAGTGGACAGAGGCTGGAGCTGGGAGCCAGGACAGCCACGTCCTGACTGTGGTCCTGCCATAACCAGTGATATGATGACGAAAACGCCATGCAGTCTCTCTGCAGCCCAATGTCTTCATGGTGTTGTCACAAGGTTTAAATGCGAAGGAAATCTACAAAAGGGCTTTGGCATAGCTTCAGGTGCCCCAAATCCAACGCACTGCTATTAAATGTTGCTGATAAGAAGAGAATCTGCAGGTTCAAAGAAACTTAAAAAATAGTGAGGTTCGGGGTTTTGTTTTGTTATGTTTCAGCTAAATTGCTATCTCGAGTAAAAGAGCATACTTGTGTCATGTTGCTGTAGAGGACGCAAATAAAATGATCATAAAATAAATATTGCTTATCTTCCTAGCTCTGCCCGTGTGGCCAGGGTATATTTTAAATTCACTGTCTAAGGGGTGATGCTAAATATGCTTCTGTCAAGACTTTGAGAGCACCTAAGGCATTTCATTTAAATTTCAGATCAGGGCAGGTTAAAATGCCCAGAACATGTAGCCTGTTAGCATTTTAATTCAGCCTTAGTACATTACCCAAAGTTACTTGATTTGGAAGTCCAAGCAGTGACCTTCATGTAAAGGGAGGCTGCTGCCCCAGCCTCCCAACGGCGAGGCTCACCGCTCCAACCCCACAGTCACTGGAAACTCTCCGGGGTAGCCGTGGTGACAGTGACGGGCATAAGGGAAGCACGAGATGGGAATGACACTCAATCACAGAACCAGGCTTCAGATTCAAAGGAAGGGGCACGACTGTCCTGCCCTGCTTGCAGGGCAATATGCTTCTGCAATATGAAACCCCAGCTTTCGTGAACATTCCATGGATTTCAAATGGAGACTGTTCTGAGGAAACACAACTCATGCTATGGATGGGCATGAAGTGGGCTGCAGCCAAGAGAGGCACTGCAGGTTTTCTATGAACTGGCTTGATTTCTGGACCAAAACCAGCATTTGCAATCAGAAACACAAGCTCGCATTGCATGCAACGTACTTCTCCTCCTCTCCCATAGGTACAGCGGTTTGTGAAGCACCTACTGTGTGCAACTCCATGCACAGAGACTCCCACAGACATGCTTGCTGTCCTCAGCCAGGTCAAGCCAACCAAACACACAAGACTGGTGTGATGCACGAAGTGGCCTGATGTAACATGGAGCAGGTGGTCATTTAGGATGATTTCCAGGCTTCTGAGAAGCCCCCATACCCAATAGAATACCTCCTGCATCTGCTGGCTGACGACTGAAATTCCACAACTAGAGAGTCACTCCTCTGGTTTAAGATGTCTTCGCCCCTGTAAGAAATGTAGACACCACAAGAAGGGAAAACACTTTACACCTGCTCAGCCCTCAGCACCTTAGTGTCCACGAGTTTGTCAGCTTTTTCCCAAAGGCCAGGGAGAAAGGGCACAAGACATCAGGGTCCAAAGGGCACAGGACGTGTGAAGAGAAGGTCAGGAACAATGCAGGGTGTAGCAATGAAGATACATTTGGAAACCCTACCGATTTTGCAACGTGACTTGGATGTTTAAGACAGAGGCATGAGGATACAAGCCCAAATCAATGAGGCAGGTATCCGACTCACTGCATTGCCAAGGTCAACGATCCCTTCCAAATATGGAGAAGACGGAGGTGAGGGGGAAGCCCTCCTTAAGTAAACCTGCCTCATTTCCCAACCCCTTTAAGCTGGAAGATAACCAAAAGCGCTCCCAGATGCAAACCACCGCTGAGTAAAGTTCTCTAATGAGGTCCCGCTGGCACGCCCAGCCTATGGCCTCTGATACGAGGAGGACTGAACGCCCGCAGGACCACCTCCACATGAGCTACTAACAGAAGCGCACTGGCCACCTTTCACGGGACCGCCACGATGCCTGTGGCACGCCGTGCCCTCCACACCATCAGCTGAAACCAGAATGACCGAAGATGACAACCCGTCCCCCTTCTCCGGAGGAGGGCAAAGGAAACCCTGCACCAGAGGCAAGACTTCTTGACTGCCTTTCCTCGGGTTTCTCAGCTCTGCCACTTCCACTGAGCACTCAGCGCCTCCTAACAGGAACCCACCCACTCATCCTGAACTAGAACCACAACCCCCTCCTGTCACGTCAGGCCCAGGAAGCTAAAATGTCATCTGCATAAAGCAAATGTCACTGGAAGAGAAAGCCTGGACTTGCCAGCCCTCATCTCTCCCTAAGCGTCTGAACTTATACCTCTTCTGACTCGTAAAGACAGTACCTTCTCGACAGTGAGTCCGCCGTTCCACTGACCGCAAGTGAGGTCTGGGCAGGTTATCACAATCCTGGAGCACGCCTCTCTCTTGATGTGTCACCATTAAAACTCAGCCCTCTTCCCTCTTCTGCCATCCCAGCAACATGAGGGCCAGGCCATTTGCTCTACAAGCAAAGGAACCTTCTCCCCTGACGTGCTGCACGTCAGGTCAGCTTCCCTGGGGACGGCTGCAGTAGAGAATTCCAATTCCTGGCATGCTAATACATCCATTAAACTCAGTAAGAGCCTCGTGTTATGAGTTATGTTCCTTTGTTACTCACAGACGGCAAAATCTCTATCGTCTGTGAGTTGCTTCCTTCCTTCTGTGACAATTACAAGAATCACACTCTTCGAATGGATGTCGCCAAATGTATTTACTTATTTTGCATTAGAGGCAGCCAACTGCTACGAGACTATTTATTATTTATTGCAGATGTATAACAGTCCCAGAAAATGCGATTCCACATTTTGAAACCGGGGATTCTGCCTTTTTGTAAAGAAGAAACAAATGGACTCTCGCTGGCTGCAGGCGCCATGGCCATTTTACTCGGGAAAGCTGAGCTGTGAGCAGCTTTTTTTTTTTTTTTTTCCTCTCAAAGGCGGGACAGCCACTTCCTCCCCCTGTCACAATGACAGTGTGGCCCGAAAGGACTGGCCAGAACCGTTACTGCGAACGAGTCTGGCGCTGGGGGAAGGGGGCACAGCGGTGCTTCAATGTTAAGATGTGTAAAAACGACAAAAGAAACCTCAAATTTTTTTAAAGTGGGGGAAACACATCCAAGCACTTTAACTCCACTGCACCAGGTGAACTGATACAGCTCAGAAGTTTTCCTTTACACCAACTGTCAACGCCGGAATTTTGTATTCTGTTTTGTAAGGATTTAATAAAAGTCATAAAAACTAAACAAAAAAAAGAAAAGGAAAGGAAAGAAAAGGAGGAGCCTTCCCTGACCCCCTGGCCCTCCTCGGGCTGTTGCTCTTTACGAGACACAGATTTCTGCAGAGCTGCTCTCCCTCCAAGGCCTGGTTCTCCGAAACCCATGTGATCTGCGTTCACAGCAAGGTCCCCCTCCTCGCGGGGCCTCCACTGACACTCCTCACTGCCCAGCCCCCCACATGGCCAACACCGCCACCTCCACGAGCTCTCTCCCCGGGCTGTGGGGCTGCGAGCTTGTTTTCCTCCTGCCTCTCGGGCTACTCCCGAGTGTGCCTGCGTGTTTCTCTTCCTGCGCCGCTCCTGTAAAATGTGCTGTCACTCCAGGCTCTAGGCCTGGCCTCTTCCTGGGTGACGCTGTGCATTCCTTGCCTGCAGGTGCCGTTTTCACATTGATGACGCGTGAAGTATTTTGTAGGGCAGTGGCCAAAGCCAATTATGCTGGTTAAGGAGGAAAAGATATCCAAATATGATATTATCATCATTTCCAAAATCACATGATAACAGCACAGAACTAAATAACAGTAATACCTTTGAGCCTCAAGCCTTCTCCCTTCCACTGAGCTCACGACATTTCACATATATGTCTCTTCGTTATCCTTACAATGTCCCTTGAAGAAAGACAAAGCTGGTAGATGCTCCTAGGTTAACTTTTTTAAAGATCGAGGAACCTACGATGAGAGTTTGATCATCCGACATCATGTGGAAAG